GGACTGCACCAGTACAAAGGAGAATCCTGGGATGGTGTAAAGCAGACTTAGCTGTCTCCATGCCACTCATTTACATGCCCTGCCCCAGGTACAGGGGGTGTTTCTGGGTGGTCTGAGAGCATGGTTGAGGTGCAGGAAAGGACAGAACTTGGAGTACAATGCTTTGCTCTAAATTATGCTTGGGGCAGTTTGGCTCACAGTCAGGCTATGGATTATGGGAACAGGAAGGTAGTTTAGAGCTGCTTGCTACCTTTTCAACCTTCATCTCATCCAAGCACAGTTTAGACAGCCCCAGGGATCTGGCCCTTCAGTTTTTAAATCAGGCAAAGCAATTAATCTTCATTAGCAGCTTGCCAAATTTAATTTTAAAAGATCAATCTGTTTTCGGTTATACAAGTGAAATTAAAAACATCAATCTCATGTTTAAATATCAAATTTATGTTAAAAAATTTAACTAATGGCTTTGTTATTTTGGTGGGAGATTACCATCTGCATTAGCTATAATCAGAGTCATTACCATTTAACTCGGATAGTTGTCTACTCTCATTTTGTCCAGAAACTCTATGTTGCTCCTAACACCACATCAGAATGTTTCATGGATTGTCTTTTTCAGTACAAAGTGCCAAATAGTATGGCAGATTCATTCATCACACTGCTGAAAGCAACTAGGAGAAAGAGAAAAATTAAGTCTTTTATCAAGCCTGTTGCATCTGGAATCTTATGTGAACTGAAATTCCTGTTATATAGAATTTCTTCTAAAGATTCAAAGATGTCATTGAAGTTATTGAGGATGAAGCTAACGTTTCTATCTTTAAATATCTGCCTAGACTGACAAGGACAGGTCGACTGTCCTTTGGTTTGATTTTGTAAGATACCTATTTTTTTGGATTCAGGAACACACACACAAATCACTAATGCTAGCAAATGAATCCATATTTTTGATATGCTGGACATTATATTCAGTCCACACTTCTGTATTATTTTAAATTGTCCCATTGGAATAGGTTTGGTTGAATCAGATGTTAGGATACGTACAAGTTTATTCAGAACAACGATTCTCAAGCTGTTGTCCATGGAGCACTTACCAATGGTCTGTGGAGAGCTGGCTGGTCACATGATGCTGGTTCAGCTGTTTGTTCCTACCTACTAAATTGCATTACTGCTACTTTTTCCATGTAGGAAATTGCTGTATTCACCATTCAGATATTGTTCCATTACCAGAGACAGGAAAGGCAGTCCATGTATCTGTGGATGGGAGGAGTGGAGACCCATGAGACATTATCCCAAAGTTTGGTCCACATTGTGAAGAAATTGAGAATCCCTGATTTAGAACATGTTCTATATGCAATACTAAATTTACAAACAAGTTACAAAAATCCTGCTTTCATAGATTTTAAGGCCAGAGGGGACCGTTTTGATCTAGTCTGACCTCCTGTGTAACACAGGCCATAGAGTTTCACCCAGTAATTTTTGCATCAAACCCAGTAGCTTCTACTTGAACTAGGTTATCTCTTTTAGAATGACATCCAGTCTCGTTCAGTGCCAATGGCACAATGTTTCTGAAGATTTGTACATTGATTTTTTTTATAGCGAATATAAATGCCAATCCCAGAAAATTAGTAGGGACAAAACTGGAAAACTTAAAAATTACTCTCTCTCACTCTGTGCAAATCTACCTCATTTCATCCACCAGCCTTGTCTCTTCAGCAGAAACATGTGGATATTTGAGATCCATTTGGAGAAACATATAATATTTTTTTGCTAGAAGTTATACACTTCTACAAAATACTCAGGGCTTGTCTTCGTTACCAGGGAGATTGACGCTGCTGCAATTGATGCAGCGGGTGTCGATTTAGTGGGTCTAGCGAAGACCTGCTAAATCGACAGCAGAGCACTCTCCAGTCGACCCCCATACTCCAGCTCCCCGAAAAGAGTAAGGGAAGTCAACCGGAGAGCGTCTCCCATCTATGCAGCACAGTGAAGACACTGCAGTAATTTGACCTAAGCTATGTCGACTCCAGCTACGTTATTCACATAGCTGGAAGCATAACTTAGGTCAACTTACCCCAGTAGGTCAAGAAACCCTCAGAAGCAAGTGATGGGGTCCGTGTAAGGACTTAGACAAATAATTTTGCTCTTTCTGACTGAAAATCTTTTATTTGGTTTCTATAATTTTCCAGGCTCTCCCTTTATATGTATTTTAAAAAGAGCCAGGCAGCGATGACCTCACTGGTTGAGGAGGCCAAATAATTTACTATACCTTCTAGGTATTCATGTTTTTCATCATCCTACAAGCTGTGCTGAGCAGCAGCTTCTTCATGAGCCCTGTCAAGTGCAGTTTGTCAAAAATTTTCAAGAAGCCTTTCATGTCAGACATATTCAAACATGAAGTTACAAGCTTTCATGTTTGTTCCCCCCTCTCTTGGTCAGATGTTGCTTCATATCACCATAACCATTTACTGCCCAATATGGATCCTTTCTGTCCTTTGAAGTCTGAATATGCAACTGCAGCGCCAGAGAGGAATTCAGTCACTAATATTTATCTTGATTTGGTTTCTCACTTCTGAGTTGATATAGAATCAAGCTCACTGTCCCATAAGAAATCAGATTTATGTCTTTTGCTACAATTGTAAAAGGATTATTGAACAAAAAAAGAGTACTAAACTCAGGAGTAAAGTTGCACTGTTTCAACTTCTCAGGAATTATCTTATTTCTAAGTATTAACAATGTGTTCATATGTGGCCAATATGGAGCTTTTTGATAGTTAAAATGGTTAATAATAATTCAAAATATCATTGCAAAAAGAAACAATAGAAGTATAAGGTAAAGGTAACATTAAAGCAAGAAAGAAATATACAAAAAGAATGTAAGTACTGCAACTAAATTCCTTGTGTGCCATACCATGGCACCCTGTAAGTCGCCTGCATCCCCACCATGTTTCAGACCAGGCATGACTTGGCTGTTCAGCAGCTACAGCTCAGCAGCAAAAGACTGTCACTTTTTTTTCATACCTTGTGCAGTTCAGGAAGTTCAGAGATTGTTACGGATGCTGCTTTTATCAAAAGATCACACAGGACAACTCTTGAAAGTTTCATAGTGTGCCAAAAACACTAACTCCTTACTTCATGAGATCTGTAGAAACAGGAACACCTTCAGCAGGATTGTGGGGAAAATTGTTGTTTCCACACTTTTGATTTCAGTCCCTTGAGAGACCACTGAAAGAGTTTAAGGTCATCAGCATAGTTGATTTGTTGAGACGTATCCATCTTGTCTACCAAAAATTTCATTGTGTTCACACATTTTCTATGAGTTCCTGAAATTATTTTAGTTATTACTCACTAGAATGTTTATGAACTATAGTAACTTTTAGAAAACATGACTTCATTGAGGGTCCAGTCTTGCAATCCTTGTTCATGTGAGTAATCTTTAATTGAGTGAATAGTCAGTCCATTGGCCTTAATGAAAATAGTTGTGTGAGTAAGAGTAAGAGTTCTAAAACTTTATTAATATCTCCATATTGTTGGCAGCGGATGCTTCCATAGAAACAGGGGTGAAGGGGAAGGAAGAAAGCAAATGGTTACTTAAGAAGTACTTTCAAGGATATTTATTAGCACTGGTCAGAAAATGAGTTCTTCCCAGTGGAAGAAATTGACTTTTTAACAAAAAATTTAAAACTGGAATATTTCTATTTGGAAATGGTCTTGCAGTGCCTCAGGGAAGTTGTAATTTGGGAGCCTCATGCTTCCATTTTCCTCTGGAGGCCAAGCTCCCTGGTCATTCTATAATTGCCTTGATGCACCATGGTCTCTTCTTTGGGTCAAAAGAGGCAATGCATTACAGGAGTCCTATGGCTGAAGTGCATTCTGGATGTAAAATCTAGCTGGGATGCCTGGCCCATAAAGGAGAATGGGGACACGAAGTAACCAAACTACAACAGCATCTGAGAATTGACATATTTTATCTTTTAGCCAAAACCAAACACTTTTCTGTTTTCAGGCATTTTCTTTATTTGATGTAATAAAAAAAATCAAAATTTTCAAGGAAAAGCAGAAACATATCACAAAAAATATTCTCAGCAAATTTCTGTCTAATGGAACAGTTTTCGGCCAACCCTCCTATATGTTACTATTATAGCAGTATACATGACAGTTGGATAGTCACTGTGCCCGCTAGGATTTTTAATCCAATATGACTCTTCAGTCTTGCCATTCAGTATTTCTATTATGCTGATTTTATTTGACTTTTTTTTGGTATTACAGTAGCACTTAGGGGCCCCCAACGTGCTAGGCACTGTGCAGACACACAATGACTCCCCCAAAGAGTTTATAAAAGAGGTAAGTATTATAATCCCCATTTTACAGATGGGAAACTGAGGCACAGAAAGGATAAGTGACTCACCCAAGGTTACATAAGTAGTCTATGGCAGGGCCAGAATTTATTCCGATCTTCTGAGTCCCAGTACAGCACTTTAACCACAAGAACATATATTCCTCTGTAAAGCTTTTATGACTTGTTCTGTTTTAATCACATATTACTTAAACAGAAGGTACTGAAAGCTGCTCAGTATATTGGGACTAATGTAATTTGAAATGCCTGTGTTTGACAGACAAGGTGGCTGAGGTAATATCTTTTATTGGACCAACTTCTGTTGGTGAAAGAGACAAGCTTTCGAGCTACACAGAGTTCTCTCTTCAGACTTTTGAGAGACTAAGTTAGCCGGCGTTGCTAGAAGAGACTATCACTTCTGGTATTTTTGGGGTGTTCGCAGTCTTTGAAAGAATTGTGGTACCATTGCACAATGGACCAAAGGTTACCCTTTTTCAGTACACTCTTTGCATGATTTCTGGACAGGATCCATTAGAAGAGATGATCATTTAATGAAACCCTATTTTGATTATGAAAATATTCATCATAGAGTCTCAGGGTGTGGGGGCGGGGAAGATTGAAGGAAGGTATTGACGGAGAGATGATTTGTTCGGCAAATCAGCAATTTCTCCATACTGTGAATTTCTTCCCCCAATCCCAGATGCCTTTGAAACAGTGCTTTCACAACACCACAGCTTTCACAGTTTATGGTCACTTCAGGCTTTACCTTCCTGTATAGGCATCCATGCCTGTTAGTCTAACTAAACCAACTGCTGGCCCAAACACTGCTCCCAGTAGCAGCTCATTCGCCAACGTTCCTTCTGGCAACAGCTGATGCCGCCTTCTCACAGAAAGAATGACTAATTCCAGCCTGAGAGAGTTGGAGAAGGTACAGCATGTATCTACTGTACTTTTTATTTTGGGAGGCAGACGTGCCCATATTTTTGTTCTTAGAATAAATATTCTGCCCACATTTTTGTTCTTGGAACAAACATTCTGACATTTTCTGGCAGGTATGAATACTGCAGAGTACTCTCCAAGGGAGGGGGAGGTCTGTTTTCAAAATGACAGTTTGTAAGCTCTCAGATTTGCAATTAATTGATAGTTGGCAATTGCCTTTGTAAAATTCCAAACCCTAACCAGATCCCAATTGAAACTTACCACCTGAAATCAGATCTTGGCCCTAGTTGTCCCCTGAAGACTGGAATGAACGCTGTCCAGATTTCAGTGGGGCCTACCTGCTCTTCTCAACTAAATCCGAAGAACAGGGAAGCCATTAGACATCCATATCATAAATGTGAATTTTAAACCTCAGCTCAATTCCAGCCAAATACCTTGCCAACAACCTGACAAGATTAGGCCTAATGTAGAAGTGACAACATGCAGAATCCCTTCTCAAATGACTTTCATGTGTTGTCTCGTCAAAACCACAAGGAGACGCTATTATAGCAGCTCTGATCTGAAGGAGCACTAGCCAAAATTGTTCGATTTGAGATCAGTGAAGCTTAGTTTTATTTTAGCATTGCTTTATGCTGACACATGGTCAACAACTTATGGTTTTGCACCATATAATAAAACTAATTTAAATTCTAAAATATTGGTGCAATCATTTTAGCACTAGCACATCTACTAACAAAATATGGGCTTGCCTCTGGAAAATTTGGCTTTTAGTATCAGAGTTAAAGGATAAGCAGAAGAAGCCATTAAGAATTACAGAACTTCAGATATGTTCTGTTCTAAAAATACTACCGTTCTCTAATCATAGATAATGCGGTGTTGTTACTCTTGGCAACTACTGACTATTTTAAAGGCAATCTCTCTCTATCCTAATAATTTTGCAAGTGTTTCCTTGATTTTTGATTGAGAGGAAAATCTGGTATCATTCAAACCCCAAAATCAACTAGAACAGAGAGTCAACAGAAACCTGGGACCAAATTAGGGAGATTTTATCATAATCAGAGTGTCTAGTAGCCATAGACCAATGAAAACATGTTCTCCTACAGCTGATATAAACATACTGTACTGACACCTATACCTTCCATTCCCATTTACATTGTGTTTTTGAAATCACAACTTCAGGAAAAACAAGGAGAAGTCCTTGTGGCACCTTAGAGACTAACAAATTTATTTGGGCATTGGCCCATTTCAAACAGTTGACAAGAAGGTGTGAGTATCAGCAGGGGGAAATTAGTTTTTGTAGTGACCCCTGCTGATACTCACACCTTCTTGTCAACTGTTTGAAATGGGCCACCTTGATTACATTGGCCTCATTAGCTCTACAAAAGTGATTTTTCCTCCCTTGGTATTCACCCCTTCTTGTCAACTGTTGAGAATAGCCCACTGCCACCTTAATTGAATTGGCTCATTAGCACTGACCCCCCCATTTGGTAAGACAACTCCCATCTTTTCACGTGCTGTATATTTATAACTCTCTCTGTATTTTCCACTCCATGCATCTGATGAAGTGGGTTTTAGCCCACGAAAGCTTATGCCCAAATAAATTTGTTAGTCTCTAAGGTGCCACAAGGACTCCTCGTTGTTTTTGCTGATACAGACTAACACGACTACCACTCTGAAATCTGCCAACTTCAGGAAGAAATTCATATCCATCAAGCTTTAAAGTATGAGAGAGTGAGTAGTACCTGTTCATTTTGGACTAATACACATGGACCTATCTCTATTAATAAGATGGATAAACCTTTCTAAAGGTACTGAATGAAGAAAGCCCCATCAATTGCTGTCCTCAGTGCTTTAACAGTGATAAAACCCTCAAGAACAGAAAACAACCTTCACTTTCAAGACAGGCTGCATCGTCTAATGAAAAGGGCATGCCTTGGGGAATCAGGCAGCCTGGGTTCTATGCTGAGCTCTGGCACTGATGTTGTGTGAGAACTTTGACAAGTCAATTCACTTCTCTGTACCTCAGTATCCCCATTTTTATACTGGCGGTAATGACACTTTCCTCTCCTTTGGAAAGCCCTTCCAGATCTATGGGTAAAGAGTGATAGAACTATAATACAATATTTCAGAGTCAGGGCCAGGACTGGTCAAGTTACTAATTGAGAATAAAGTACCTTATGGATTTAGACATTTCTTCTGTTCACAAAACTTTTATAAGTGTATCCAGATGTCTGCAAATTTATGTATTATTCATAAATATTTGAATAGCTTGGAGAAACAATTTTAAATGTATGGGATATTCAAAGTGTTCACTTTAACTCCTCACTATTCACTGTGTGATTGGGCTCACCCAAGACACCTGATATTATTTTTTGCTTCCTGACATGATAAACTATTTGAACAGGAAAACAACATATAACCAAGAGGGAAAAGCTAAGAATAAGAACATATATGGTCCTTTGTGCATTAATGTCTTGTTCTCAGGCAAATTAAATATTCATGTGGAGAACACCCATTCTTCCAACTTGCATGTTAAAAAATATTTGCACAAATATTTGTGAATAGAGGAACAAATGTAGCTCAATGGAAAAACATTTCAAAATTTGAATGAATGCAGCATTTTGAACCCCTGGGTGTTTAAAAAAAACTAGGAACCAGGCAACCAAAAATTAATGAGATTGGCTTTTTTTTAAATAAGATTAAGAAATAATAAATGTGAGTCTCTTTTTATTTGCCTTATAATTCTTGAGCCTATAAGCTTCATGTTCTCCAGCTTTTCTCCACAACTAGAGCAGATCAGAAAATGGAATTTACTTTCCACAGGAAATTTCAACATTTCAAATTTTGGTTTTGCTCCAAAAAGTCAAAATTTTGAGTTATTCATGGAATAGAAAATCTGAAACATTTGGATTTGGAAACATCTACATGGTTTGGTTCAAAAACATCAAAATAGTACTAAATATATATTTTAGATATTAATGTTAACTATAAAATGAAACATTTCAACATTATCTAGACAAAGCAAAAAAATTATTTCAACATTTTTCTAGCAGAACTTTTGTCAAAATTGACACATTCCTACAAAATATTCCTTTCGAATTGTGATTAAACGGCATTTTCTGATGGCAAACCGTTCTGTCAAAAAAAAAAAAATTCAGCCAATTCTATTCATATCCATGAAAAGAAAGAAAGAAAGCAATCAAGCTGCGATTCCCATATAATCGCATGATTCTAGGAGACAGGACTTTCAAACAAACAAAACAAACACCCCTTCCCACCTCCCAAATTGCAAGAGTTGCAGTAAAATCTCAAGAATTGACAAAACTATACCCTGTTTTTGAACTATTCCTCCAGCTCTACATTAGACTATTATGTTGAGAAGAAAAATAGTCATGTAATTAAAGCACTGCCCCGGGCTTCAGGAGATTGGCAGGAAATTTGTGCTGTTGCCAGACACCTGATTGTGTGTAACCTGGACAATTCACTTTCTCTCTCTGTTCCTCAGTTCCCCCTATAAAATGGAGATAATGCTTCTTTTTCTCCCATCCTCTGTCTTGTCTGTTCAGATTGTAAGATCATCAGACCAAGGACTGTCTCTTACTAGGTCTACATACATCACATAGAAGAATGGAACCCTGATCTCAGCTGGTGTATTACTCTAGGCATTACTGTTATAGACATAAGAATAATGCATCCACTCTGGAAACTATAAATACTGAAAATAGAGCAGGAGCAGTGTTTCCCCAGAAATGTTATTCCCCAAGCAGATCTTATTGAACACTGTAAAGAATACAGTTATACTGGCTTCACAGCTGTGTCTGACTGGAGTTATGTATTGGTTATATCCACTACAGCCAGATAAGCTAAATGAAACAAAAAACTATTGATATCTTAACATTTCTCCATATACTAGGTCCTTCAAAATAGATATTAAGCCTAAACCTTTTTGTACTATTAGAGAGAACAAATAAATCAAATGAATTAATTTGGAATGCCACAAAGTGCTTTCATTTCAGCCTACTAAAATTATCCCACAAATAATTAAACATTCATGTAACAGAGGCAACCTGATAAAATGATGAGTCTCTGAGGCGCCAGCAGTAGCATTGGCTAAAAGCCAGCAGCAGCCCAGCATTTTAAACCTTACACAAAGTCTATGACCCTGCAGTAGATAAAGTAAGGAAGAGCTCCCCTTTGAAGGTATACCCGATTTGTCATCAGCTCTAA